CACACACACACACACACACACACACACACACACACAGACAAGAAAAGAAAAAGGGACTGGTTGATTGGTTGAGAAGAAGAAGGAGTTTATTGGAAGTGGGAAAGGAGAGGCTAATGGGATGAATATGATCAAAATAATTAATGCCCAAGTATGAAAATTTCATAATGAAACCCATTATTATATAAAATTTTTATATACTGAAATATTACCTAAGATTATCTTCATGCTGTAGTGGGTAGCCGTTCCAGCTTTGACCTGGAAGTACCACCCCCATTGAGGCTTAGGTAACTGTCACGCCTACAAGGCGGAGCTGAGAGAGGATTCCTGAAGACCCAAGATCTGGATGGCCCAGCTCTCTTGATTCTTGGTTCCTGGATTCTGGATGCTGGAGGTAGACCGAGCAGAGTTCTCCAGAGAACATGGCTGGACTGTGCTTCACCTTTCCCAGACCCTGTTACCTATCCATTCACTTGTAAGTTACCCCACAAAATAAACCTCCCTTTTAACTACATGGAATTGCCTTAATATTTAAACCAATATCATGCTATGCATATATAGTATATATAATATTAAAATAATGATGAGTTTTATGTTTACACTTTGATTTACTCCCTAAGGCTGCTCACAGTTTGTATGCAAATATTTCTAAATCTCCCCAAATCTGAGATCCAAACACTTCCTGTTTAAATGTCTTAGATAATAGATCTTCAACCTGCATTAAAATTGACTCTAGCTGGGCAGAGGTGACACATGCCTTTAATCCCAGCACATGGGAGGCAGAGCCAGGCAGATCTTTGAGTTCAGGGCCAGCCTAATCTACAGAGTGAGATCCAGGACAGGCACCAAAACTACACAGAGAAACCCTGTCTTGAAAAACAAACAAAAACAAAAAAACAAAAAACAAACAAACAAACAAAAAAAAGACTCTAGAGCATCCCAAAATTATATATAGCTGAAGTTACAGGGAAACAGACAGTGAAGGTCCAGAGGTGAACCTTGTTTCCATGGGAAACTGGAGCGAATATAAAAAGAGAAATGAAGACAATATGGTAAGAAAGATAGGAGAAATTATCTGTCCAAAGATGCTTGAATTCCCCAAGTGCCCAGCTGCATCATGAGAAGCAGAGGGTCCTTTCCAACTCAGACAATACAGTCTCCTCTACTGCCCCGAGTGGGTAATAAGACAAAGGTAATTTTGTGTATATTTTTAATCTGGATGAAGACTGCCTTTGGTAGTGTGTCGAAAGACACAAAGAGATGGCTTCTACGCCTCCTGGCATTCTCCCTAGGAAACTGAAGGCAAGTACCAAAGAATGCATTTTGTAAGCATTTGCAATGAATAGCCATCTTGTCTGGAATGGATTTCATGAGCAACTTCTGCCACCCAGGTACAACAGTAGATAAGTTTTCCCAATGAGTTGGATGGTTCAGTTATTGTAACCACTCAGCAAGTTATACTGAGAGCATCTACTGTAGGAGCGAGACACCACCAACAGCTCAAGATCCCTCAAGGACATCCGATGAATTACAAGTCAGGTTTCCAATAAATCACAACCATGTGCTATTTACTGTGGCCCATTGAATGCTCATGGGTTCCCGTCAGCCCCTCTTTCCCTTAACTTTCATTGAAAATGGATACCAAGTGAAAACAAAGTCCCATGAACAAGTTTCTGAGACAATTCTGAACAAATCAATAGACTCTGAAAAAGATTTCTCTTCATCAAAAAATGGTTGTACTAGAAAGTGAACTAAGATAGATACCACATCAGAATAGACTGTATATTCTGCAAAGAGATATATCTCTGGCTCACCAGAATATATAGCATATCTTTATATTTACAAATCAAATTGCCTCTTTCTTCCATAGCAATTCAAGGAACTTTCTCAGAATCCATCAAAAACCCAACAACAGCTGAGATTAGAGACATTCAAAAGTGAAGCACACAAGATCAAAAACATACTCAGGAAATGTCTTGCAGTGTAGCTCTGCTGAAGTGCCCCATGATCATAATGGCCATGTACCTATCGAATTAGAGCTGAGGACCCGCTTTTCAGAGCATGGACTGCTTCCTTATTGGTCTAGGAGGGCAGAAGTTAAATCCTTAAAAAGGTCAGGTATTCAATAAGGTATATTCATAGAAAGAAGGAGGAAAATCCTGCCAGCAGTCAGGCATATTACCTAAGATAAAAACCATAGTTCAAGTCCAACAGGAATTTACAGAGGCAAACATAAATGTAAGGTAAGTAGTCCCTGAAGCCTCAATCAATTATGAGGTTTTTAATTGAGGGATTCAAGCTACTCTGAGTCATCCAGATACCTCCCCAAATGTTGTATCATCAATAAACAAGAGTCTTTAGAGCATTATCTCAGCAAAGATTCAGGTGGAGCCCGACGAAAGCCCTGTGGCTGGAAACAGAGGAGCCATGAGGAGAACTGGTGAGCTATAAAGTTAGAGGATTTGTCTTTGAATCTCAGGATCACTCCCCACGTCTCTGAGTTGGGACAGGCTGCTTCGCATCTTCGAACCTTGATTCTCTTCTCCCTGACATGGCAGTCATAATAACTACCTCAAGGGTTATTGAAAGAACTAACAGAAGTCATGTGTGGACCATAGTACCTGTCATGTGGTTCTAAAACTGAATGTCATTTCATAGTTTGCTTTTCATTATGTTTTGTCTATTTCTTCTTTTGAGTTGGAGAGGCAATATGGCAAGATGGTTAGAGCACACAGCAAACGGACTGGAATTCTCTCAGCCCACAGCTTGCAGTGAGAACTTTGGGCTGGTTTCTTACCTTCTGTTTATGTCAGCCTCTATGGACTGACTGACATGGTCAAGGCACTTGAATAGCATTTGGCACATGTGAACACTGTGAAATTCAGTAGCTGTCATTGTTATTGTCACCTGTGTACTAGGTACGATGGACGCTCCATCCAACAAGCTCCATAGCTTGTTCAGGTGAAGCGTTTTCCTCACATCTTGAATAATGTACATGGCAAACCATTTTGGCATGGAAAAAAAATATCTCTCCTATGGTGACTGCATTTTCTGAAAGATGATTTCAACAGTAACTCCCAGCTCAGGTGTTCTTTATTCTACAGTGTGGAGCTGTCCATTCTCCATCAACAGGTACTTTCCCCCACCTTGTGTCCAGTGGACTCGACTAGTTTGGCCAAGAGTCTGATGAAAGTGATTTTATGGTTGATAAGACATGACTTAGTTCCACCTTGAGCTGGGAAGCCCAGCTGTGTTGGGAAGAAGCCGGATCTCACAGGTTACATGGAGGTGTCTGGCTAGTAGTCCAAATCTTCAAGACTCCTCAGCACTGGTGCTGGGGACATGGGACACGCACCCCCTAGATTCCAGTCACTCTGGGCAGCTGGACTATTTGAGGATATTTATGTAGCAACAGCGACTAACGTATGTCCTTTCAAGAATAGCCCATTATTATCGTTTTCAAAGTTAACATGCACACAAAAATTTTATTGAACAGAAAATTCATGATTTTTCATAGCAATAACTTGAAGAATAGACAATTTAAATTG